CCAACATCATCAATCAAACGCAGAGCGTCTGTGTGACGTGAACCTGTGGAAGCAATGAGCAAAAAGAGATCATCATGTAGATGAATGTCCAGAGGGACGTTATTAACACATCATCAATCAAACGAAGCAATGAGCAAAAAGAGATCATCATGACTCAATTTGTGTGTGCGCAAATGAGGCGAATCATGTGTGCGCATTTGAGTTTGGGGTAACATGGGCTGTTTAAAGAGGAATGTAATCGATGTGTGCGCAGATGAGGCGAATCATGTGTGCGCATTTGAGTTAAATATATAAAAAAGTCTGTGTGCGGATTTGAGGGGAATTATGTGTGCGCAAATGAGGCGCCATCCCTACAGGAGCCCCTAGTAGCTTCTTGTTCCTAGTGCTAAGAATGCAACAAATAGCGATGCCCTTTGCTCCTAGTAGCGGTGCCAGGAGCCCCTAGTAGCTTCTTGTTCCTAGTGCTAAGAATGCTACTAATAGCGATGCCCTTTGCTCCTAGTAGCTTACACGGTGGAGATTGTTCACCCAAGAATTGATCCACGTCCGCGCGTGGCGCCGAAATAAGGTCGCTGGAGTGTACCTCTTCGATGCCGCTGGGTTGTCCTGGACCGGGTGATCCGAAGCATGACAGGTCATATCATTGTTTCCCCAGCGTCCTGCAGCCTTGAAGAACTCGCAGGCAGCAAATGCTTGCTGCTGAAGCTTCCATTTCACGGAATCATTGCACTCCCTGACGTCATCATGGAAGTGGATGGCATGGCCCCGTGCCCGTGGATGACGACTTTCCTGCTTTCCATTTCCATGATGATTTCAGGGAGTGTAAGACATACTGGGAAACAGAATGCTGGGGATTTGTGTCCGGATCCAGATGAGCCATTCGCTAAACCTTCGTGTTCATGTTTACTCAGTGTGTTGTCATATCGAAGTTGTGCGTAAGCAAAACCTGCACGTGCATAAGGTTGCGTAAGCTTTTTGTACGGAAACCTTTTGCGTAAGCCATGCGTACGCTTTGAAGAAATATATACATGATAAATACATGAGCAACCCCCCCTCATAAGTGCAAGAACTAAGGAACAGTCCATCTCCACACAAACATGCACAATTCAAACTCGATTTGCTGAACACACACACAGTCCAAACACCACAGCTGAACAGTCAAACCTCCATGTCAGACATGAGAAACTCCAGGTGATTTTTGTGAGTTCCGGCGCGTAAGCCGCGCGTAAGCTCCGCGTAAGCTCCGGTGTCCTTTTCCACCATTAGCCCACATGCCTCCTTCTCCGAAACCGTTGCGTCAGCGGCAGCGTGTGGTTGAAGACCTCTATACCTGGATCCTCCTTTGAGCGGAAAAAAGTGCCGGACCTCAATCCGGCAAAATGTTCCGCCGGATACCGAAAAAACGCCGGAGACCTGAAAAAACATCCGGATCCAAGATTCTGAAAAACAATGAGCAACAGAGATGATAAAAGGTTGGATCATACACAAGCAAACTGCCTTTGCGCCACGAGTAGATTTTTTTCTGGAGCACACTCATTCCACAACCCAATACTGGAGCCTTCCCGTTCCCATTGCCCTCGCCCATTTTGCCAATGGCCTAAGAGCAGAACCCTCACAACATATAAGCAAATTTGTGCCCAAACAAAGACTTCTAAGAAGAAACCAAGGAGTATGTGGCAAGGAGCCCCTATCTCTTTGCAACCGTGTCTCATTTTTTTACAAAGTGGGTTGCTCTCCATGATTTTTATGTTTTTGAATGTTTTTTAAAGCTTGCCTCAGGATGGCCCCACCAATAAAGTAGCAGAACTCATGGTTCCTGTCAAGACTCTTCTTTGAAAAACTTTTCGAAATTCAAAACCTTCAGAAGACTGAGTCTCAAAAAATACGCCGGAGTGACGGGAAATTACGCCGGAGTTACGGGAAATTACGCCGGAGTTACGACGCGCTATTTTTTGCAATTCTCTGCAAAACATTGAGATTCTGAACAACACATGTTCCACAGCCCAAAACTTGTCTGGCAGGCTCTGCAAACCTGCGCAGCTAGAACTATATCCCAGCGCCCCGAAATACTGAAACAATGGGAGCGCATTTTTGCCTATGTTCTTTCAGCTTAGGTACACCCACTTGGGTCTTTCAACATGTGCATCGCACTGTACCGATTTCATCCGATTTCATTTAGAAGATCACCTAAACGGATCTGATTGATCCAATGTGAACCATGCTGAAACTGGTGGGATGAGAAAACAGCGGAACAGGCAAACGAGCACGCTTTGCAAGCAACATCATTGCATCAGTAGTGGGTTTAAAATGCGGACCACAAAGGTTGCAAAGCCTTGAGAACCCACATCAAGTGACTTAGAAAAAACTGCCGGATCAAATCCAGAAAAACGCCGGAGTTGGAAGTCCGGCGCCGGACCCTGTAAAAGTGCCGGACTGAAGATCTAGGTATACAATGCGGTTTGCGCGCATCGCCCTTCCACTTCCACTTCTCCACTTCTCCACTTCCTGCTGCTAGTTTGCTGCTGCTACTGCTGCTTGTGCGTGCTGCTGCTGCTGGGTTGCTTCTGCCTTCGAGTCTTTTTCTTCGTCCTCATCCTCAAGTGCTTCTTCAGCATCCATATCCGAAGATTAGGTAGTGAATGTCCATTGAACATTGTACAAAGTATGCAGCGCGTAAGCTCGCGTTGTGGTGTCAGCTGCATTTTGTGCAAAACTGATATCGCGTAAGGTTTGCCTAAGCCCTTCTTGCTCCAAGTGTACCGCGTAAGCAAACATGTGAGTCGCGTAAGGCAGCGTAAGCACAAGCGGAAGCACAATGATACGACATGGGATTTCATCAAGGTTTTGAGAAACGCTCAGATGGTCGCACGCTGCAGCGCTGCTTCCCGGTGAAGACCTAAGGGTCCAAAAGCCTTGACATTTGTATTGCCAGGAGCTACTAGTAGCGTCCTTGCTCCGCTCGTAGCGATGGCCTCCAACCTGCTTGCGATGGCCTCCACCTAATAGGGTCCTTGCTATGGGGAGCGGTGAAAACGTCGACGATCACTTGCTTTTGGGTTTGCGAGTCGATTCTGGTGCATTCAAGACCCGGGAGACGGTGGTGAGGGAACTGGTCGGAACATGTGGGATACATGGATTGTTTGGAACGTTTTGAAAAGACTCAGGCAGTTGCACAGCTGGCGCGGATGATTGACCCATCGGTGCCCTACCCTACCAGCTCTACAGGACGAAGATAGGGTTCGGAACCTGGTGGAACTCTGCACATATCATGTGCGGGCCCAATGAGCAAGACTGAAGCACCCAGCGGGAACCTCGAAACTCAGGGATTTGAGAGCCCTGCAGTGCCAGATCCAACCTCTCATGGATGTGAAGCCGAGAAAAGTGACTCTTGTTCAGGGGTTGCAGTCGGTTGTAGTGGCTTAGTGGCATAGTAGGATTATGACTTTCCCCTTTCAGACCCCCACCCAGCCAGGCAGGTCCTTGACCTGTCCTGGGTTTATGAAGGTTCTAGCAATCAAAATAACGCTTGAATTCTTTGTGGCCTAAGTGGCATGCTACAGGACTGCAAGAGGACTGCTTACAGAGTGGCGTAGGATACGCAGTAGCTGCCAGTGATGGTTTGGACGATGTTTTGCCACAATGATGGGGGGATTGGGGTGCTTGGTTAGTTCTTCAAACATTCGTCGGCGGCCAGATTCCAGACAGCGCAGACAGTCTTTGAGACGTTGAGGCAAAGTGTTGTGGAATGGTATCACTTGGATGTTCCGAATTGCACCTTGACATGAGCAGGGCCACTTTGCAATCTGGTCCGGAAAAGTTGTATACTTGTGGTGCCCACATTAGTTTTGGGACCTTATTTTAGACCGGAAAACCCTATAGATCACTTGCTCAAATTCCCTTCAGATCAGCATGTTCTAGCTTTGGGAATTGCTCCACTGCTTTTCAGACCTGACAAAGCTCGTCATGAGCAATTGCACACCCTCACACTCACTGACACGGAATCGGAACATGGTTCTTGAAAAGGAGACCATGCCATCCCATTCCTCAAGTTGGAGTGCCTGAATTTTCAGGGGAAATCACGAACTTCCGCCATCGTTTCACTGAGTAGAGTTCAGGCAAGGGTCAGGCTCAGCAAAACATCAAACACTTCTGCCTCTAGGGTGCTTTCGACGTGGCTGCTGGCAGCCAGCTGGCATGCGGTTGAGTGCCTCTCATGAGCTGCCCGGCCCCTTTCCGAAAAGTCCCAGGATTCCTCACTTTGAACCTTCAGCTACCCGTGTCCTTGCTTCCAGTTCTCGCAGACAACCGGGCCCTCGCTGAGCCTCAGACGACTTGTCGCAGAAACCAACGACGCGACGATCCCGTAGGTTGCCTGATCATCGTCGTCAACAAAAAAACACTACATATCCCAGACACTCCATGGGACTGGAGTATGTGCTTGTGCGTGGTGTGTTTGGGACTGGTAATATATGCCGGTAATATATATGCCGTACATGAAGTGTTTGGGTATCATTGCTATATTGTTGTCATCATCCTGATAATTTTCCATATGCTCACAGAAAGCGAACGACCCCATGTCAGCAGATTGGTTACAGTACGATACAGTACGTGTATACTCTTGACTGTGTTCCACCCCAATACCGCTTACCGCTTGGCTTGACTAGCGCAATTAAAGAGGGGAAATGGCATGTCCACAAACGTGACGATGGGCTTTGTGCAGTTCTCCAAAACAACATGTGCCGTTTACCAATCGCGAATGGCGATCAGGAGTCCTGTGAATTCCAAAACTGTCCCAAGCGGTACTTACGAATCTTTGGGTTGTTGCGGGTGCTGGTGCTGGTGATGGTGCTGTTGTTGTTGTCGTCGTTGTTTTGACTAGAGGTGGGGCAGGAGTGGGATTGAACAGAATCGTTGGTTGAATCAAACTGAAAACCAAGTACATAAACCAATGCAGTTGCTTTTTGTGCAGCATTTGATGGATCAACCGGCAGGATTTTGTCATGTTGCATCGGAGCCCCACCCAGGACCTTGCGTCAGCCTACTTCTCGCGCTGGCTCCTTTTGGCGGGTGCCATCTCCTTACGCTTTATGTCGCTGGAGCTCTTTCGGGACTCGGCCTCGGGCCATTTGCTGTGGGGAGGACCGACGGTCGCTGCCGGGGAGACTGCGAGGACTCGCGGACCGGCTTTGACAGCCGGCGCCTTTTGTTGAGCGCTCCCAGTTTCAGGTTTGGTCAGAAACAAGAAACTATGTGTACACAGTGTGCACACTCCACCAACCCAACAGCATAGGCACAGGCCGCATAGGGACCAATTTGAGAGACGGCCCCTTACTAAACCAACAGACAGCTTGCATGGTGTGCGTTGCAATCCACAAGTTGTTGAGGTTTCACTACGCTTCCTTTTGAGCCGACATCTTCCAGTGCTTGTAGACTTCGCCGCCGGACCGCCGGACAAGATCCGGATCGCCGAAGGATCGTTGGTTTTGGCACTGTTCGCGGCGACTCCAAGCATCATGTGGGCAACGATGTTTGCTGCCCTCAAGCGTGTGGGAAAGGCTTTGGCGACTGTGTGCAGTGCAGTCTATGCTGCGGTCACCTATGTGGCCTCGTCTTTGAATTAGCGGGCCCATCGAACCAAGCAGAAGAAGAAGAAGACAAATACACAACAGCAACAACAACCACGACCACAACGACAACGACAACGACAACGACAAACAACAAACACAAACACAAACACGTCATCATCATCATCATCATCATCATCATCATCATCATCATCATCATC